CCCCCACACACGCACACACACGTCTCTCCTGTGAGACCTAAGTGATGCAGAAGCTCTATTTTCCCCAAGTGGAGTCAATCACATAATGCCAAAGCTGAGAAGGACCTTTGCTATATCCTAGGGCAGCTAACAGTGCTTTTCTCGTTGAATGCAAGCTAAAATGTTTTGAGTGGTAAGCACCTAGGAGGAGGGTCAGAAAGAACACAAGCTTCAGGTTATGATCAGAGTTCAAATTCTAGTTCCACTGGTTACCAATCACAGTTGGATAAATTCCTTAACCTCTTATAAGCCATGTACTTCACCTGTAAAACAGAGTTTGTAATTCCTACCTCCCAAAATATACAAAGATAAAAGGAGAAGACAGCATAATGTGGCCAACACACTGCCTCACACAGAGCTTTAGAAAGGTTAATTCCCCCTTTCCCTCTTCAATGCTAGAGACACGGAGAGATAAAGACCCTTAAGGAGTTCATTGCCGTTGCAGGAGACAGAGACTTCACAGGGCTGGGTGCCCTAAGTTTCTGGTTCAAATTCTGTGAATGTAGATGACTCCTAAGAATGAAAAAGAAACCTGGTGTGAGTTAAATATATTTTCTGCTATTAAGTGTTTCTGTTGTACTTCTGGAGGGATCTGCCCACCCCCCCCCACTCCCCCACTGCACACACATACCAAGAGAATAATGATGAAGTGATTAGAGAATATTTTTATATGGGTCATATATAATACTAGAGTAATATATGAGCTTTGGGAAGATGAACCTGCAGTTTAAAAAAACCTCAATTTTAAGATTGTTTCCATTCTTCTAGGTTTTTATCTTGAAAATGTGAGAGATCAATACTGGAGTTAAAAGTAGGATTTAAGATACAGTTTTAGGCTTTATCAGATAAACATCCAAAAAAAATTCTTAACACAAAGGCATTATTGACTAAGCAGGGAGAGAAATATACAAAATTCACAATTTATACAAGAGGATAAAACATTGTTACTAAGTTTATCTAGGATGTTAGACTGAAATGTCAAGATAGGAGGACGTAATCCTTGAGTGACTGTGGCATATCTATGCCCTTAATCTTTATTGTATGATCCAATAAGCTTCCATTCTAGAGTACATTGTGTATCCTGTTCCATTCCTCTTCAGGGACCTGAGTAGTCTCTGTCCTCCAAAGCCTAATTCTGATGTTTCTCCCTCTAATGTACCATCAGTTTTCTCAGTCTAGAATTGATCTCCTTTTCTTTCGATTCCCATAGCACTTTCTACCTTATGAATCTTCTTCATATAACATCCCAGTGGACTCCAGAGTACCACATTTGTGTATCTTATCTTTGATACTGGACTGAACAAAAAGAAAAATTAGTCTCTAACGGTGCCTGGAACAGCGCCTTGCCCCTAGGAAGTTCTTGGTAACTGTTTGTTATATAAGTAAATAACATCAAATAATGTATTCACCAAGTATGAATTGAATATCTGCTCGATGACCATCACTCTTGCCAGGTGCTATACAAAAGTACAAAAGGAATTTTAAGATTCAAGTCTCAAGGGGTGTAGTCTTTAGAGGAATGAGAAATTTTTTAAATGCTGAGGTAAATGGTATCATTGTTCTCTGCAAGTGGTTCAGTTTGCCTACTAAGGTGTGTTTTGGGGGTTAAGTTTTGAAATGTCCTTTCAAGGCCAGTTTCAAGTACTGCCCTCCAAGCGTATATGTATTTCAGCAGTTACTTAGCCCTTGAGTCAGTCAATGCCTTCAGTTTTGTTGAGAAAAGAAAGTAAAAGGCCTGTATTTTTTTTTCCTTGCCTTAGCCCCTTCACCGAGTTTAGTTGCAAAGGAAACTCCAGCCACAACACCACAGGGGCCTGGTGCCAGACCAGGTAAGGCATGCTTTGGAAAAACTTCTCTGAGTGGAATGGATTATATGTGAAGGAACTGCTGCTGTCCTCAGGGTGCCAGGAAGTGACTGAAACTCTCTCACCTGCTGGCTTCAGAGCAGACCTCAGATGAGTGGCAGGGTTTGTGCAGGACTGTTAGGGTTCTTTTCCCCCCGACTGGCTTGCTGTCTTATGCATTCCTGGTGTCAGCCAGGGAACCCAAGAAGGGTGTTGCGGTGCCCATTGTCTGCCACCTAGCTGTGGATGGTTTCCATTGGACTGTTTGCCCTGTTGCATGACCCTGGCACTCATAGCTGGCAGCTGACTGGCCCATGGTAACTTGCTAGGGTGGCAAGCGTTCCTACACTCAGTTAGTAACTGCATATTCATGACAGGAGTGGAGGCTTGTTCTGAGAACCTCTGCTACAGTGAGGTAGCCACTTTTCCTGGGAGTCAGTCATTTCAGTCCTCTCTGGATGGCATTATGTTTCCCATGACCAAGAAATTGCAAATAGCGTGAAGGATGGTGTTTCTGGAAGGTGGAGTCCATGGTAATCTGACAGATAATTGCTGTGGAATGCTGGGTCAGCTCAGAATGTGTGAGGATCTTGATGGCAATAACAGTACTGCCTTCATAGATAAATAGTGTAAGTGTGTTAACAGTTTAATCTTGGCCTGGCCCTTTGTCACTGAACATATTGAGAGATACCAAAAAAAAAAAGTATGACACTTTTCACTCAGAGGTTAGAATCTCATTTACAGTCCAGTTCACACTTGAAAAAAATTGTAAGGAAAAAACAGTATTACCATGTTTAGCTTAGTGGGCCTAAATCAGTGAAATTAAGCTATAACTTGTGATTTTTTTAAAGATTTTATTTTTAAGTAATTGTTACACCCACAGTGGGGTTTGAACCCATGACCCCAAGATTAAGAGTCACATGCTCCACCAACTGAGCCAACCAGGCACTCTAACTTGTGTTTATTTTAAAAGCTGCTTCAGGTGCTATGTGCTATGTTATGTTCTATTGCACACTCTGGGTAAAATTAGGCTTCTGAAAAGAATGGTTGAGCAAAAAGCATTTCAGCCATTCAGATTCTTCCTTTGCTACCAACTACCCACATGATGCATGACATTGTGCTAGGCACCTGACAAGGATAGGAGTGGAGCAAATCATTCACAGAAGGTATTAGATGGTAATGTTCATTTTTGGCGAGAAAAGGAGCAACTAAAAGAGGAAGGGAATTACATTTTCTGACCCAATTCTTTACTCCAGAAAAATGTGCTTTACTATATCGTACATCTTCCTCAAAATAATTGGCCAAAGAATCCTATTGCTTTTAAAAGTTTGACTTCGGGGCGCCTGGGTGGCGCAGTCGGTTAAGCGTCCGACTTCAGCCAGGTCACGATCTCGCGGTCCGTGAGTTCGAGCCCCACGTCAGGCTCTGGGCTGATGGCTCAGAGCCTGGAGCCTGTTTCCGATTCTGTGTCTCCCTCTCTCTCTGCCCCTCCCCCGTTCATGCTCTGTCTCTCTCTGTCCCAAAAATAAATAAACGTTGAAAAAAAAATTAAAAAAAAAAAAAAAAGTTTGACTTAAATGAATCTCCTTAAAATACCCTCATAGTCACTAAATTGCCTCACCAGATTCCTTTGATCTCTACTAATGTGAATTAGCTGTAATAGTGTTAAAGTTCTCAAAAGCACTGAGTTTTGTTTCACATGAGCAAACTAATAAAATGTTTTGGTAATCAGCCTCTTTTGAGCTGTTTTCATTTTTGAGCACACATTACCTGAGTTTGTGTGCAGGCAACAGAGACCCAGTGAGCTGGTATCTATTTCAAGTGGAGGGTTTCCAGGTTTTATGGGTTAGATGTTGGGAGCTAAGTAGCAAATGAGAAGCAAGGATTCCCTCATCTTGCATTGAAGGCAGAGGGATGCAAGGGATTCCAGCATGAAGGCTGCATTGACATGAGTATCCTAACAATAACAACAGCTAATTTTGAGTTCTTACTAAGAGCCAGGTGCTGTACTGAGTTTTTATATGTATTGTTCCATTTAATCTTAATTTTGAGGTGAGTAAAGTGGTTGTCCCCATTTTTCAGATGAGGCATTGAGCACAGAGAGTCAAGCACAGGGTTACATTACATGGCTAATCAATGGCGTCAGAATTCTAACCTATGCACTCTTGATTTCACTGCCTTCAAGGAAGTTAACGTGTAATCTCTGGGGTAGATGAGGCATGTACACTGAATCTGCTGTGCTGAATTCTCTATAAGGGGAGGCAGGAACAGGTACAGAGCTGTGGGAGGCCAGAAGCAGGAGAGATCACTGCTGTCTGGTGCATTAGGAAAGTCTTCTGGAAAGATGAAACTCTAAAAGCGATGTTTTTCTGCTGATGCTGAGAAAGAAGTGCCTGGTAAACCCATAGAATATTCATTTAAGCAAAACCCTGCTAGACAAATTACTGAGATTTTCCTTTCTTAGAGGGTATTGTGGGGAGTTTGAGGAAGAGAGGAATGTAATGGAGTCTGTAGGCATTATCTCAAAGCAAAGCAGTCTGCACTCTGTAACTCAGTGAGGAAGTCCTTTGGAGGAGAATGCATCCTTAATATATATTTAAGACATATTTTAAGATTACTGCCTTTAAAAACAAGTATGAAGAGGTTAGGGATATTTTAAGAAAGAAACCAATCTCTTCTACAGGAGAGGAAGAGGCTTATTTTACTAATCTAGTTATAGCTGGGTGAAATATGAACCAGGTAGTGTGAATTTAGTTCTATTGATCCAAACAGGATTATTTCACAGTGTGGAGTAGAAATAAAAATAGACCAAGTAAGTGTCTTATGCCCCAGACTACTGAGTTGTGTCCCTGCCAACTCTGTCTCCATACCATGTAGGGTGAGGATCCTGCTGGGCATGAAGACATGTTAGCCTAAATAGGGCATTTAGAATTCTGAGACACCTCCCTTCTCCCAGTGGACATAGACACCAGAAGCTCCCACATCTCATTTCTGTCCTTTGTATTTTTCACAGAACTCGAGGCAAATGCTGCCATGGTCTCTGGACAAAGGTAAGATGATCATTCTGCAGACTCAGCATGAAAATGGCGTAAGCCTCTTTGAAGGGAAGGGTATCGGCTTTCTTATCCTTTAAACCTCTCTTCACCTTGTCCTTTTTCCTTGACTCATTGTGCCAGTCTGTTTTTCCTGCTAAAACAGGGGAGCTGTCCTGAGTCCTAACCCCTGAGAGGTAACATTTCCCTTAACAAAGCTTGGTGGCCAAGTTTCTACCTTTTTTGGTTGTTTTGAAAATTGAATGAGATAACATGTTCAGCACTCACCATAGTGAGTAAATAGTAAGTTCAGTATGTAAGAACTGTTGTTATATTGTCATTAATAATAGTCCTTGCAACACCTTCTAAAGCATAGCTGTCTGATCCTCCAGGCATAAGAGAGAAAGCCAGACAGGGTCTGAACCCCAAAATTCATGCTTTTCCTGTTATACTACAAAGCCCCACATAACCTAATAAAATGAAATACACCTGTGGCTTCACTAACTCCATGGAAAGGAGGAGGAATAGTTCCAAAAGTAATTCCTTTTTTAATCTAGTAATGCATTGGATAACATTTTAGAGAATTTATCATATTTGTACAACTTAGTTTATAAAACACCTTCACAATCATTTTCTCATTTAATCCTATCCACCCTTTGAGGTGGTGATAATAACCAACATCTATCTGAATGCAGCTCATGCTATGCACTGGGTTGCAAGCCCCTTAAGTGTATCATCTCATTGAATTTTCACAGTATCTATTAGGAAAGTAAATTCTGTCTTACCGGTAAGGAACCTGAAGCTCAGAGAAGTCAACTAAATTGCCCAAGGCCACAGATTTAGTAAATGGTGCAACTGATATCCAAACTCAGGTGCCCTGATTCCAGAACCCTCACACTTATGTATTGTAGCAGACAAAATGGGGATTATAGATCAAGAACCTGAAGCATAGAGGAAGTTAAATATCATGTCCAATAAGTATATAGGTAAGACTTGACCCCTGTTCTTCTGCCTCACAGATTCATTGGCATTCCTACTACATATTTCTCCCTGTTTTTATTTGAATTGGCTAATATTTGAATTCATTTGCCTTTACCAAGCATACTCCAGCTGTGTGGCTACACAAAGAAGATAATCAGATCAAAAAAGGGTATTTGTTTCCAGAGCTATCTGAGTACTGACCATATGAACAGCAGGACAGTACTTCTGTGGCTTTTGTTTTGCCAGGAGAAAGAGGCACCTCTGTTAGGAATCTTTCTTCTCAGAGACTTTGACCATTTTCGGGGCTCCTAGCCAGAAAGCCATCCTTTACCATCTCTAAAAGGATGTGTGAATACCCCTGACTTACAGTTCTACCCCAGCTCTGGCCTTGCCTCTTCTTCACTTGACTTGGTTCATGGGGCAGTTGTTAGATATACAGCAAGATGGTGAACAGTATGGCCAAATTCCCAGCTATCGTACCACCAGTGAAGGGTCCTATGGCAGGAATGAACAATGGAGGGGTAGAGGGAGTTCATAGGCCATGGTTCATGCCTCTAAGGAGCTCCTGATCTAGTGGAAGGCAGAAGATATTAAAATAAAATATGCCGTACAACCTGATGGGTGCTCTTGAATGCCAGATACAGACTGTGAACCCAAAAAGAAGAGACAGCTTTACTTGGGGAGTAAGGGTCAAGGAAGACTTCCCAGAAGAGACATCCCTTTAACCAGCTTGTTTTGTTGCATTACGTTTGTTTAAGTTCCATGCCTTACAAGCAAGTTTAATCAGCGTTTTTTCCCTAATGATTTTGACATGCATTTTTTTTGAACCATGCAAGTAGTAAAAAGTTTATTAAAGAAAATTTGAAATTCAGATCAGAGAATTAAAAAGAAGAAAATTACCAGAGCGCGTGGGTGGCTCAGTCAGTTAAGTGTCCGACTTCAGCTCAGGTTATGATCTTGCAGTTTGAAAGTTCAAGCCCTATGTCAGGCTCTGTGCTGACAACTCAGAGCCTGGAGCCTGTTTGGATTCTGTGTCTCCCACTCTCTCTGCCCCTCTCCCACTCTCTCTCTGTCTCCCTCAAAAATAAATAATAAACTTTAAAAATTTTTTAAAGAAGAAATTACCAATAAACCAGTATTCCTATGACTCAAACAATATTCACTATGTATATTTTAGTTCATTTTCTACTTCTCTTCAGAGTATGTATACAGATAGGGAATATTTTATATATAAACACTATAATATTTTTATATAATATATAGTGATATATATATAAGCATTATACACACGTGTATTTCACACCCATTCATTCGTATGTAGTTACATATATATGCTCAACATGTATTATGACGAAAATAGGATTATACTATTCATAACATTGATAACTTTTTTCCCACAGTAATGTGTCATGAACAGTTTTTATCATTAAATAGCTTTCTACAACATGATTTTTCATGACTGAATGTGAATGTGCCATGTTTTAGTTTTAAAATCTGTTGTAAAGCATTTAGGTCTTCTGTCTTTATTAGTACTTATATAATGCTTTGACATCCTGTGTGTAATTACAGCTCTGTAAAAAGATTTGTTTCCTTAGGCACCTAGAAATGGAATTGTTGAGCCAGAGGATTACACCAGGGTTTCTCAGCCTCAGCGTTATTGACAGCTTGGATAAGATAATTCTTTGTTGGGGTTGGGGGGGAAGAGCTGTCTCATGCATTATAGAATATTTAGTGGCATGCCTGGCCTCTGCCCAGAAGATGCCTGTAGCATCCCCCACTCAGTCACGGCAGTCATCTTAACAATCAGAAATGTCTCCAGACATTTTTAAATTGCTAAATGTCTCCTGGAAGGCCAAAATGCCCCCTATTGATAACTGTTGGGTTACATAATTTACACTCTGATCAGGAGTTTCTGTCCTCATACCCTCAGTAGTACTGGATATTACCAATTGTAAATCTTTGCAAACTAAAAAAAGGGGATTGAGGTAGGGGTAATCAGTATACCCAGCAGTATATATACTCTGAATACATTCTCATGCGTATTCTATAATGTGACTTAGGCCATTATCTGATTATACAGGCTCATAGAAAATACCAGTACATATTAGTAATTTCCTAAATTTCAGATACTATTAACTTTTGAAAAGGAATATTGTTATTTTAAGAAAAGGGTGAGGAAGTTTCGGAATTTTTATTCCAAGTTCTTAATTTCTTTTACCTGTTTTTCCACAATTTCCCCAGCAATATGCTTTTTAGTATTTTATTTTACTACTGTAACAAGCTAGACTCACTTTTAAAATTTTTTTTTTTTTTTTCAACGTTTATTTATTTTTGGGACAGAGAGAGACAGAGCATGAACGGGGGAGGGGCAGAGAGAGAGGGAGACACAGAATCAGAAACAGGCTCCAGGCTCTGAGCCATCAGCCCAGAGCCTGATGCGAGCCTGACGCGGGGCTCGAACTCACGGACCGCGAGATCGTGACCTGGCTGAAGTCGGACGCTTAACCGACTGCGCCACCCAGGCGCCCCTAGACTCACTTTTAAATTGTGAGTAATATAGAAGGTATTTTGTTTATTGTCCCAGAGTGGAATATTTTCTCTTCAGAATGACAGTATAGTTCTTAATCTCCTGCCTCACAAATGAAGCCTATCTGAAGAGCCCTTTTTTGTGTGTGACTTGATTCCCTCTCCTTCTTGGAAACTTTGTGCTTCCCTCTGTCAGCAGTGAGCCCAAAGAGATCATTGAAAAGTCCAAAACCCCAAGCCGAAGAAACTCCCGAACTGAAGAGCCAACTGTGGCTTCTGAAAGTGTGGAAAATGGACATCGCAAGCGATCCTCTCGGCCTGCTTCAGCCTCCAGCTCTACTAAAGGTTAGCAGTGCAGTGTGGGTGCTTTTGTGGGTCAGATAGAAGAATGGGGTCTTTATCACCACAGCAGAGGACTTTGTCTTTTATCTATGCTTCTGTTACTTTGACTTCTACTGTCTGTCCCTCCTTTGTTTGTTAGTTCATTTACCTGTGTGTTTTCTGTGTATGTGCACAGAGCAGCAAGCGCTGTTGGGGGAAAAAAAAAAAAAGAACATAACAGGGCAGATTGATTCGTGATCACCACTTCAGATAGGTGCTCAATATGGCCCAGCCATCCTTCTGTGATCAACTCTCTTTTCCACTCCTCTGGCCCCTACTTTCTCTTCCCTCTCTCAGCAGAGACTCTCACCTCTCCACAGAGAAAATAGAACTGCTTCAGCTGTCACTACCAAGACCTAAATCTACTAGGATCCTCCTTTGCTCCTACTATAATAGAGCAGCTGTCCCTCCTCAAGTCTAAGGCCAGTTCCTCCACTTGTGCCTCTTTGATCCCATCTTCTCTGACCTTGTCAAGAACCTTACACTACTACCAGTTTTCTTTCCTGTATTGATTGCTGTTTCCTTTTTTAATTCATGATGTCCTTGGTTTCTGTGACCTAGAGCTCTCCATAGTTTTCTCTCTACCTCTCTGGCTTTTCCTGCTCAATCTCTGTAGCCAGTTATTAGATGTTGCCCTTCCTCACACTTTGATCCTGAGTCACCCTTTCTCTTCAACTCTTCTCTCCCTAATTGATCTCACTCATGCCCTTCTTTTTTAGTTACAACTTTTCACAGATGACTCCTAAATTTGCATTTCTAGTACAGACCTCTAAAAATCTTAGACAACTGCATGTACATCCTTACCAGGACTTCAAATTCAACATGTCTGAAACCAGACTTGTGATTTTCACCCCCACTATCAGGTCATCTGCCAGTGTTCCCCACCTCAGGGAATAGCACCACCATCTGTCCATTGGGCAAGTCCTCCTTGGCATCTCTCCCTCATCCTCACATCTCTCATGTTCGTTACCAAAAGCTGCTGATTTTATTTCAAGTGGCCCAAATTCATCCCCTTTGCCCCATCTTCATTGCTACTGTAGCTTAAAACCCTTTGGTAATTTACATTGTAATTTGGATTAAAGTCTGAAAGTGCCAACATGGATTAGAAAGGTTCTATGTGGTCTGGCCCCTGTCAGCCTCTCCTGGCCTCATCTGACTTCCCTCAGCAACTCAGACATGCCGCCCTCTCGTCACAAGCCTGTGTGTGTGTACACCCACTGCAGGGAGTGTTTTTCCCTCTTCCTTCCTCCCTTCTCCTCATTAACCTACTCTTTGTACTTAGCTCATTTGACACTGCTATGAGGAATCACAGCCCCATGTTCTCCTTCATAATACCACAGCTTTAATTTTATATTTATTTATGTGATAATTAATATACATGCCCTGTTAGGGCAGGAGTTTGTCTGGTTTTGCTCACCACTATATCCTCGGTACCTGGTACAGTGCCTTATACAAAGAGGCATATAATCAGTAACTATTATATTAATAACCATCTATCAAATATATATTAAGTACTTACTACATGCTAGGCTCTGGGGATATAATAGTGAAAAGGGAGAGTCTCTGTCTTCATCATATCAGTTATATACCAGCCAGAAAGACAGACTAATACAGCGTGTTAAATGTTAAATGCTATGATAACAAACTTACATGGTACTGTAGGAGCATATTGCTGGGATGCTTTACTCCTCTGCCTAGTCATAGAAGGCTTTGAAAAAATGATGTTTAAGTTGAGACCTGAAGAATGAGGAGGCATTATCCAGGCTGTGGGAGTTGAATGAAATATTCTAGGCAAAAGTACGGCATGTGCAAAGGCCCAGATCTGAGGGAGAGTCATCCCCTCTGGGAATGTGCTGAGCTTGAGTAGCTCAGCTTAGGCAAGAGGTGGAATCCTGGCCAAGTGCCTGATACCAGCAGGGCTGCTGAGACGCAGTCCAGTACCATTGGGATGCCAACCTGAAGATGAGGGCAGGTTGTGGTGCGCCAACACAGACACTGACCTGAGAACTCAGCTGTTATTGGCAGGTTGTGTTTCTCGGCAAGAATTTCACGATTCCTCATGAGAGCCCCTGGGTAAGCCACAGGTCTACAGATCATACAGGTAAAGCAGAGGTGTAGAAGTTACCTTACCTCAGCCCATCAGAGAGGGAGGAACCTTTTTTCTTCTCCAGGCATACTGTGTACACCACAAGCAGAGTCCTCTTAGGTATCCCCACTTTGATGCCGAAATGGAATCAGCCACTTTTCTTCCTCCTCCCTGGGAATTATCTCCCAGGCAGAGATTTGTTTGGAAGGAAGCACTCCTTTCAGTATATTGAATACTAAACTTAGAACACTAAAGGGAAGATTCCTAGAGTTCCGTGGGAAAATCTGCTTCCCCTCAGTTCTTTGTATTCTTTATTTAATGTTTGGGGCGCCTGGGTGGCGCAGTCGGTTAAGCGTCCGACTTCAGCCAGGTCACGATCTCGCGGTCCGTGAGTTCGAGCCCCGCGTCGGGCTCTGGGCTGACCGCTCAGAGCCTGGAGCCTGTTTCAGATTCTGTGTCTCCCTCTCTCTCTGCCCCTCACCCGTTCATGCTCTGTCTCTCTCTGTCCCAAAAATAAATAAACGTTGAAAAAAAAAAAAATTTTAATGTTTGTTTATGTATTTATTTAGAGAGGTTGAGACAGAGAGAGTGCAGGGGAGGTCAAAGAGAGAGGGAGAGAGAGAAAGAATGCCAAGCAGGCTCTGCGCTGCCAGCACAGAGCCCATTGCGGGGCCTGAACCCATGAACTGTGAGATCGTGACCTGAGCTGAAATCAAGAGTCGGACACTTAACCAGCTGAGCCACCCAGGTGCCCCTCAATTCTTTGTATTCTTTTGGCCCCTCACTTTCCCAAAGATCAAAGTTTTCTAGGCTATAGAATATGGTGTGTAATTACCTTTAAAGCAGGAAATAAGTGTTGACCTTTAGAGATGTCACACACCAGATTTTTGGAAACTTCATCTAAGTCCAAACCCTCAAGATAATAAGGATGTCATTTATAGTGTACCAGAAAGAATTAATCAAAGGAGCAGCTGGGACAGTTAAGAAGAGATGCCCAAATTAGAGCCAGTTTGTAGAGAACTGCCAGCCAAGCAAAGATGGAAAGCTGGAACCTGTTTTAGAAGAGGGTGGGGAGTAGGCGTGTACACTTAAGGACGTTGTCCCAAGGTGGTATTCATGTATTCCAACATGGTATTCATGTTGGAATGCCTGCCCCATCCGTGTTCTGAAGCTTAGCAACTAGCTTAGGAAAGGCCATAATGACTTGAAAGCTTTGTGAGTTTGCATGGAGGGGTGCTGGATGTCTCCTGAGAAGATAAAGAGACCTCCGGCCAAACCCCAGGAATCAGTCATGTACAGATCTCTACATCAGCTTCAAGCCCTCAGGCTCCCAGTTCTGAACTCCTAGGGTAAGTTACCTTTTGTACCCAAGATGAGTGCTTATAGCTGTTTTGGGTTTTAAGTGCTAGAGCTCTTGGATCCAAATTAAAGAATAAATATGCATATTATTTGGGCTGCTATGTTGTGTCCAAAACTCTGAACCAAAGTCATAAAATAACTTTTTGTGATGTATTTGAGCCCATACCCAGGGAATGATCATAAAATATCATGGTGGTTTCCTTCAAGTTTTGAGGGGAGAAAAAGGTTTGCCTTTTTTGCACTCATACAATGTGGGTCATATGTGCACAAACAGAATCAGAAATGGTCTGTGTTTTTCATGAGAACCTTGAAATCAGGTGAGAAATATGAGCGGTGTATAATGAGAAATACTGGTACATTTGTATTGTCAGAGAACCAGTGACATTAACTATGCTCCTGCTGTGAGAACAGAGTTTGCTTATCTCATGCTGGCCAAGGCCTCCTGTACTGCCAGATTGGAGCAGGTGGGACAGATTATTTCTGGGCAAGTCTAGAGAGGCACACGTGGTTAATAGGTCACTCTTTAACCTATTGTTTTGTTTTTGATTGTTGGGTTCCCCCCCATCCCACTTTTAATTACAGACACAAAAATTGGCTCTCACAAACTAGTGAGCTTCTTTTTAAAATTGCGCTTGATCAGGTGTGTTGTTACAAATATGCAAATGAGTAGTTCCACTTCCTGATATGAGGTGTTGCCTATTAACACAGAAATGATTTTTCTCATTTTTCTTGTCATTCTTCATTTACTCTTCTGTTAATAATAGTTTTTATGTTATACTTTCAATTGGAAAAAAGATTAGTAGTTAAAAATGTTCAATGCATAAGTTTGAAACCAGGGAAGGTATACTAATATGAAGGAAGTTCAGAGCAACCTATAATCAGTAGCAGCTGTGGGTGTTCCTGGAATGCCTTAAGATGCCTCTGATAGCAAAGTGGGGTGAGAGTCCTACCCTCCCCACAGCCAGTGACTTGAGAAGCAACAATCTCAAAAAACAGACATTCTTAAAATGAAAATGTTATTGTGGAAATGTAAATGAACATAATATGGAGAAAACTCTGAACAGTAACTGCCTGAAACTGCACTCTTGTAGTAGCATCATTCAGAAACCAGCCATGAAAATTTTGAAAGGAAAGTTCCAGAATTTTCTTTACAAATAAATAGAAATCTTGGCTAGAAGTAGTACAGTAAAAAGCATAATGAAGTGAGCGAGGTCAAGGTCATTTTCTAAAACTCCTTGAAAGGTAAAGGTAAACTCCACATAGTAGAAGATTTAATAAACCCTTGTACTGTAGATTTGGCCAAATTTGCTTAAGGTCAAAATGAGGCAACCAGTGGGGCGGGGGGGGGATGCCCATGTCAAATTATAAATGTAAATGTTCTCCAAGGATGTATATACAACCATCTGAAAGACTGTTATTGACCCAGTTACTTACCGTATACTTTGTTCTAAAATATTAATATAAATGATGTTACTTTTAGTCTTTGGACTACTTTTATATCTCTCAAGACATTAATTTGTAAAAATCGTTGATGGTTTAAAAAACTTGGATTTTCCAACAATGTATGTAATATTTATTTTGCTAGTATGGTATTGAGTATGGGACTTGGGAGTGGGATTATGCACAGTCAGTTAAGGTAGGCAGCCTTTAGGAACAGACTTGATGTACACTCTGAATGTACCATCAACCACTTCATTACTTCCCTAGAATTCCTTTACCTTCAAGAGGTAACCTCCAGATTCTCTTATTGTGTTCAGCGGAGTAGTAAAAGTTATAACATTTTGGAGGAAGTATAAAGTTGAACTACAAAAACAAAAAACTCATCTTTTCAGATAGATTTATAAAGACTTCAAAAGTGACATTGTCCTGTGACCGAGATTGCCTAAATTTATCTAGCAAAGGTGATAAAGGACTTCAAAATCAGGTTGATACAGCTTTTTCCCTCATGGAAGTATAAAAGTGCACCCTACACCCATTTCCCACACCTAACCCTGGCATCTAAAATATTATTTTTTTTGCAGTTTCTAGCACAAATCACTTGTTGATTCATGGTCCCACTCACTGATTCATCCTCAGAAGCAGAATCAGTCTGCCAGATCATTGGGTGCTTTGGAGCAGTGACAGATGGGAACAAACAAGGAAGGAGGAGGGGGAGGAAGAGGCTGAGGTGCTTATCCCCCCACCCCCTTCCCAGCCACATCCCTCAGTCCTTCATATCACAACAAAGAGAGGCTCCCAAAGTTGGCCTAATTAACAGATATCTTTCTAAGAATGAACACCCCATCAAGACAAAACCCTGTATATTTTTCCTGCAAATGACAAATTTGCTACAGTGAAAAGGAAACTTGAAAGCTGGACTGGGAGTTGATTATAGGGAACTGGGGTAGGTGTGAGACTCTTAGTTTATTTCATGGAATTAAAGAACACCATTATCAACATCCTGTCAGATTAACTGTCCTCTGATTAGCAAAAGACTATGGAGTAAATCAGAGAGACTGACCGTACCACATGGCACAAGCAGAGTGGCCTTCCAGCAAGAAGATATATACACACTGGAATTTTCACCAACAGAAGCCCTAAAACATTACACAGGCCACTTCTCAGAAAGTCATTGAGCCTTATTACTTCCTAGCAATTACTATAGCTAACAGCAACATTTTTGCTTTTTGCATCTACATCTTAAGTCTGTGCTCTCAAAATATGATACAAAAGAGAAAAAAAATTTCTTAGAACACTGAATCTAACATGTAGCATCAGGAACTTTAGCCTAGGGGCACCTGGGTGGTTTAGTCGGTTAAGTGTCAAACTCTAGATATCAGCTCAGGTCATGATCTCACAGTTTGTGGGTTCAGGCCCTGCATCAGGCTTTGCCCTGACAGTGTGGAGCCTGCTTGGGATTCTTTCACTCCCTCTCTCTCTGCCCCTCCCCTGCTCACTTGCTCTCTCAAA